TTGAGAAGGTTCAGAACAATATCTAGGCTATCGATTCCTCCGACAACTTCGCATGGCTAAAGGCCTATGAAAGATGTTGGAGCAAAGTACGAAGGTAGTGTTGTGAGAAAAAACCAGAATAGAAGAGTGAGATCGAGTGAGAACCTCTGCTATTGTGACAAAAAACAGAAACAGATAAATCAAGACAAAAAGTGTTTTTTAATAAGTTTGTTGAAGGATTTCTTCTTTAGTTGAAAAAGGTCAGGTGACAGGTTGTTCCATGGAGCCGTAATTCTGTACTCAAAAGACCCTCTCAAGGCGTTCGAGTTGTAGCGAGGAGGATCGAGAGTGAGAGCGTGACCATTACGGTAGGAACGACTATTACGTTCGTGAGCAAACTGGAAAAGTTTGGAGATTATGTGACAGTTATTATACGGATTGCATATGAGGTGAACATATAGAAAACAGGTGTCAGCCACAGCACGACGACGATCGAGGGTACAGCCAGAAAGGTGCGCAAGGCGCAAACAGTAGTTGTCACCCACATCGGAGGCTAGTGGCAGGAACCCAGATCTCATGCATACAGCAAAAACAAAACGTTTTTGAACGCTCTCGATTCTTGTTATAAGCTTCTTGCTAGTTGGAGACCAAATAGGAGAAGCATATTCCAAGAACGGTCGAACAAATATTTTGAATAATTTGAAAAGAAAATGAGCATCACGCGAAACAAAGCAGCGCAGAATCAACCGACATTTACTGTTAGCTTTGGCACATATAGTATCTATGTGATTGGAAAAATCAAGATTAGGGGTGGTGATCACCCCGAGGTCGTTGAACTTTTGAACTTGTTCTAAGATATGATTGTCAAGAGCGAAATTAATAGTAGAGTGCGACTGATGCTTATTAGGAGAAAAAACCATGATCTTGGATTTCGAGTGATTGATGTTCAAACGGTTTATGGAACACCAGCTGGATAGAATATCAAGTCCAGATTGAAGAAGAGCTGGATCAATGGAAAGAATTTTGAGATCATCAGCATAAAGAATACATTCAAGTGGTTCAGGAAGGTGCTTTCCAAGATCATTAATGAAAAGAGAAAAAAGTATTGGCCCAAAAACAGTGCCTTGAGGGACACCTGAGGTAATTTTAAAAGGAGAAGATACATGAGCATTATGTAGTATGCGATATGATCTGTTCAAAAGAAAGGACTGGAAAAAGTTGATCAGCGAACGAGGAAAGTTATAACTTTCAAGTTTAGAGATGAGAATTTCGTGATCAATAGTATCAAACGCGGCAGAAAAATCAATGAAACAAGAATAGACAGGTATGTTATTTTTGAAATTTGAACGAATAATCTTATGAGTGTAAAAAAGTGCTGTAGAAGTGCTTCTACCTTTCATGAAACCGTGTTGATGTTCAGAAATTATGGATGAGAGTGAAACATTCAAAGCTTTTTTGAGCATGCGTTCGAAAACTTTAGAAATACAGGATGTAAGGGAAATTGGTCGATAATTACTGATAAGATTGAAGACGCCCTTCTTATGAAGTGGTTTAATGAAAGCTAATTTCCAACTAGGAGGGCAGTGACCGCTATACAGAAAATAGTTGAAAAAGTGTGTTAACGGGCCTGCAAGAACAGGAGCACAGTGCTTAAGAAATATGTATGGAATGCCATCCGGTGAAGTAGAGGTACGCGCAGGGAGTTTAGAGAGAAAGTTGAGAACGTCAGACACTTGAAAGTAGGGTAAGGGGACAGAGCATGACTGGTCATAATGAGAGTCGGAAAAATACGGATTTGAAGACCTATCAAATGTTGCGTTTGGTTTGATAGCATTAAGAGTTTTTGCAAAGTGATCACCGAAAGCATTGACAATGTCATCATCGGATGTGAAATTATTCACACCGTCAGTAAACGACTGAGTGCGCAAATTGTTTTTACCAAGGCGACTTTTACAAAATTTAAAAAACTTGGTAGAGTTTTTAGCACTGGCAACTCTAATTTCCCTGAGAACATCACGCTTATACAAAAGATTTTTAACACGATTTGCAATAAGTTTCCTTTTACGCTCAGCTGAGCTAGACAGGACAAGAGAGAGAGTGGAGAGAGATTTGCACAGTCGGGAAAGGAGATGAGAGGTTTTGTTTTTCGCACCAGCTCTTCTTTTAAGAGGAACATAGGATTTGATAGTACAGAGTAAAAAGTCAATGTAAGATTCAAATGTTTCGACTGTGGTTAATTGTGAACAATGCGATAAATCAAAACGACAGATGTGTGAACAAATTACAAAATAGTCTGCGCGTGCAAAATCGAGTCTTGGTTCAGAACGAGCACAAGTTTTGTTAAGGCGCACCGAGTTAGGATTGTGGGAAGAGATAGAGCATGTTATTGAGAAATGATCAGAATTGCAAAAAGGTGGAGCTTTTACCACTTCAATAGAGCAGTCAGATGAGTTGGTGAAAACATAATCAAGAATATTATTTCCCCTGGTCGGAAAATCGACGAGTTGGAAGACAGCAGCTTCAGAGAGAGTTTTGAGGAATTGCTGTTCTTGAGAAAAACGATTTTGAGAAGAAGAAAAAGTGGCCCAATTGATCGTAGGGAAATTTAAATCACCAAAGAGGAGAAACTTGGTTTTAGCCAAGTTATCAGAGAAAAAATCAAGGAAATGGACAAAATCAACGGAAGAGCAAGCAGGGGATCGGTAGCAACCTGCTACATGAATGTCCAAATACGGAAGAAAAAATGACACAAATTGGATATTTTTACCAAAAGATTTGGACACAATGTTCGTGATTTCATGAGAGTTTTTGATAAGAATTAATACTCCACCACCTTTTCCAAAGCGATCACTTCTAATAATGCTGTGAGTATCAAGATCGGGGATAAGGGAAGATGAAGGGAATTGTTCGTATAGCCAGCTTTCACAAAAGACATTGATATCGTAGTCGAATATAGATAGATGTAACGACAGGTAGGACAGCTTGTTTAAGATGGAGCGGGCATTGGCAGAAAAAACACTTAGCAATCTCTTTTGAGAAATAAAAGTTTGGTTTTTTGGTGAAGGTGGAGGAGAAGAAGAGGCAGAGTTTTGAGAGATGGTTAAAGAATTATCGAAAGGAGTTTTGACAGAGATCAAGCGCATCAGAGATTAATTTGCAGTTTTTCGTAGAGGATCTCGGTAAGGACGTTGAACGACGAAGCTCTGATGTTTTACGAAATCTTTGTTCAACCTGATGTGTTGTTGAAATGTTTGATGTTACTCGAGTCTTAGAAGTATTGAGATTGCGGGTGAGTTTAGCAGGGGGTTCGGTGGTGCAGACTTCCCTGACATTATTGATATTCGTGTCTGGTGATAAGATAGAAGGTGAACAAGTAGCAGCAGGTACAACAGGATCCGCTGTCTCAACAGGAGAAGACTGAATAACTGGGGATTCAGCAGGCATGGTGTCATTAGTAAACTGAGATGTAGTAGAGGTTCTGGTTCTACTAATGATTTTGAAATCTCTAACAAAATGGACTAGGTTGGGAGAAGATTTGTTAAGAGCTACACATTGAGCACGGAGTTGTCGCTCAGCGTGAACCTCACTGGGAAGGTAGTCACGTCTAACATAAGATTTACTGAGGACAGGATCATGCAAAGGCTTATTGGTTCGTAAAATAATGATGAGTTTGTCGCGAATATCCTTGGACGGGCACGAGACAATGATAGGAGAAGCAAGGTTGGAACTTGCAGAGCTGTTTACTGCACGTTTACCGAGTATTTCATTCTTAACAATGAGATTGGTGATAAAATTATCGCCAGAAAGAACAGCAATAGCCTGGAGCAGGGATTTGATACGATCATCAGAGGGAGCCAAGGCAAGAGGAACTTTAAACCAAAGAAGATTACAAGAACGTTCAGAAAACTTGATTTCTTCGGCACGGTACCCAATAATTTCAGAAATAAGATTAGGTTTGGGTTTCTCAGAATGATCATTGGGCTTAACAGTACGAGCTTGAGAGAGAGCATTAAGTTTCTTCTCTAAATCAGCGATTCTAGTATCATGGGAGCTTACATTAGATTCAACGACAGCAATATGATTGGTGAGTTTGGTTATGGACTCAGGAATATCACGAACCGCACTTTCGAGCTTAGAAACAACGGCTGTAAGGCTACTAACAAGAGATTTAAGGCATTCCAGTTCGGACATGATGCGTACGATTGCAAATGGAGTGAAGAATCAGAATCAAAACAAGGAAAAAAGGAAGAAAGCAAAACACGGCAAAAGTACACTGATTTCTAACAATCGATACCTATTAAATCCACTGTCCAAAATGATGACAAATACCACCAATCAATAATAGTAGTAAAAATAATAGTAGAATACAATGAAATCAATACCAGAGCCGTATTAGACACGACCTACCAGGACGACGAAAAGTGCGCAACTGAAAACTGAGATCACTATGAGCTAATTAGTTATAACTCCAGAACTTACTAAACAGGATAAGAGAATAATCTTCTAGAGATAGATAAACGAGTGATATGCTGTCTCGAAAGTCAGCGAGAAGAAAAGAATTTAAAACTGTGAAGCCCACGGCCGGGATCGAACCGACAATCTTCTGATTAGAAGTCAGACGCCTTATCCATTAGGCCACGCGGGCTCGAATACAAACCGACTAAAGAAAATAACATCCAAAAGATTCAGATCACTATGAGCTGATTAGTTATAACTCTAAAACATACCGAACAGGATAGGAGAATAATCTTCTAGAGATCGATAAACGAGTGATAAGCTGTCTCGAAAGTCAGCGAGAAGAAAAAAATTTATAACTGTGAAGCCCACGGCCGGGATCGAACCGACAATCTTCTGATTCGAAGTCAGACGCCATATCCATTAGGCCACGCGGGCTCAAATGCAAACCGAATAAAGAAAATAACATCCAGAAGATTCAGATCACTATGAGCTAATTAGTTATAACTCCAAAACTTACTAAAGAGGATAATAAAATAATCTTCTAGAGATCGATAAACGAGTGGTAAGCTTTAAGCTATATTTCGAAACTTCACGATCGTTACGCTTGTTCGACAAATTCTCTGGAGAAAATCCAGCCCCACAAAATTGTGAAGAATACTAAGTTTCGTCTGTAACTAAACAATTATTTGTGGTTAAAAAATAAGATGGCTGTCATACAAATAGTTACTTTCCGTGCTGTGTTCAAACATTTAACTGTAAATTTTCTTGAGTTCCGACAGCTTCAAAAAGCACAAGAGAAAAATTAAAAAGTTATGCGATTTATCAGAAGTGGATAGTGATATCGAGTTCTGTAAGCACTCTAACTTCATACAATAGCCGTTTCTAAATTTTTCAGGACGCTTCTTATCAGCTGTCAACAATTCCGGATGCTTGCCGATTCTAGGCTCTGCAATCCTCATTGATACAACTTTCGGCATTTGCAGTGAGAAGAATGTCACAATAGCTTTTGGAGTGACTGACCAGTTTCGGTGTACTTTCTTGCAGAAAATTTGAAAGGATCAAAATCATTTCGTTTTAGATCGAAATCTTCAGGTAAAATGGCATCTTTTCTATAGGGTATATGATACATACGTTGAGAAGTCCTAAAGTCCACGAAGAATTCGCAAGGGTGCTCAACGAACGTCTCATCATTGCATCTATAATACATGATAGGGAATCCTCACTTCGAGCTTACAATACGGTTTGTTAACTTCGATATTTTCGATTGTTTTCTTCAGGGTAAAGCCTTAAAAGACGCAACGCCACTCTGTTGCCAGGTACATCGGACTGAGTTCGATTAAATCAAAAAAAACCCTTTTTGGGGAGACTGTGGATGTAAAAACTCAAGGTTGCTCAATGCCTCTTTATTCACATTCAGACGCCTACTGGGTCCGTATTACGCGCCGATGCGTTATACACTGAATTTCGATCTTTATCAAAAAAGGATGAATGCTATCATTGAAGGTTGTGCTAAATTTGAGCGAGCCCCTTTGAGCCTCTCGGTGAACATTGGTCAACATAGGGCTTGTAACACAGGTTCTTTGAGACGACTGCCAGTTACAGTCTGAAAGTATTATGATTTTTTTCAAAGCTGTCTGTCCAACTTCTTCTTTTTCCAAGTGAAGGACTTCCTGAAGAAATTCATACTCTTCTTAACTCTCACAAGCAGTCCTCATATTATCTAAGCGATGTCGATCACATCGTAAAAGAATCGAACCGGTCATGAACGATCCCTGCAATCAATATGAAGTCCACAATAATGGATTTCAACCTCTGTATAGCATGTGAATGATTCTTCTCCAACGACCAGCACAGTGCTAACCATCTTATTATTATCTTTGTTGAGTGCCATGAGCTGTGAGTTAATGAAGTTTTCAAACTTTCGCTTTAGTTGAATTTATCATGCAAGCTGAAACCACTGAAAAACAAATTTGGTATCGAACCTCTATGAGCTTGTGAATCATGTCATCAACTACTTTTCTATTCATCCCTCCTCCGTCACGCTGACGGATTTCTCGGAAACTACGCCTACAATATACAATACTTTTCTCAAAATTGAACAGATTACAACTGCGGATTGCAGAATGCGGTTCTACAAGATTATAGTAAGCTTCAATGGTAAGCGCCGATGCCAGTTTGCTCTCAGTAGGCTTCCTATACGTAAAGGGTTTGAGCTATTTCCAGCGAGAAGTTTGGTGTCGCTCTCATCTCCGTCTGGGCAATCATCTCGAGCGCTCCATTAAACAACTTTTCATTGACAGCCTGCAAAAACCAATGCTTGAGAGTGTTGTTTCATAACTGCCCATGTTCCTGAGAGCTCAAACACATTTTGGACAGCTTCGCAAACTCAGTGTCGACGTCAAACTGTGGTGGCGTCATAGGTGTCGTAGTTGCGGAAATAGACGGGGGCTGTCAGGGAAGACTACGCTTTCTGAAAGTTGTTCATTATCTCACTTATACCGGACATATCAGTCGAAACTAGAATTTGAATACTTCCAATAATTTATTCTCAATAAATTCGTCATACCTGCAAGTGAAAGCGTCGCAAGGAACAGATTGATCAAGAGTGGAGCCACCATGTATTCACCTGAAAGTTGTAAATTTTAAATCATTCACGTGAAGGAAGTACGTGTAACCAGTACTCTCTGATATACGAATAGATCAAAAACATGGGTAAACCATGTGTACCTATGAAATGAAAATATAAAATCTGTGCTTATGAGAAGATTGCAACCAGATTGAGATTAAAGTGTTCTCGGGATATTTAAAATAAGCTTTCTTAGTATCCAAGAATACTTCACGCTGCTGTGTAACCCTGACTCACAAACTCTCGTCGAAGATTTGACAATTTATGAGATCCGTGGTGTTTTCATGCCTGACAACTTCCCAGATGAGATATCAGATAAGAAAACCGAAGCTTCTGATCTCCGAAAGTATCAAAAGTTATCATCGAAGGATAGATATCTTTCTGTTATAATTTAATTTTCTTGTTATTCTTGTCTTATTCTCTATTTATATTGTTATCAACGCACTGGTTACACGTACTTCCTTCACATAAAAGCTTTCAAATTTACAACTTTCAGGAATACATGGTGGCTCCACCCCGAATCAGTCTGTTCCTTGCGACGTGTCCTTTTGCAGGTATGACAAATCTATTGAGAATAAATGATTTAAGAATTCAAAATTCTTTTTTCAATTAAAATTTCCGGTATAAATGAGATAATAAACAACTTTCAGAAAACGAAGCCTTCCCTGACAGCTCTCTGTAGAAGAAAATCTTTGATATTCACATTTTTCAAATTTTACATTTCACTTTGAATCGAAGTAACGAGAATGCCTATGAATCATGCTTCAGTATCTAAATGGCTTTCATCCCGATACATGTGTTTCTCAACCCTAGTTCTCCTCCTTATGAATCATAATGGCATGAAAGCAACTTGAAGACTATGAAATCCAAAGGTTGCAACTATTTCTGCTTGAGCAACTATGACGTTGAACGTCCAGCCTACAAGTCAAATGATCACTTTGGCGTAATTTAATCTCTAATTTTGCTTATTTGAGTTTCTTCCTCATCGACTTCATTCTCATGAAGTTTGTCCTTCTCCGTCAGTTTTTAAAGTAGAAATACAATGAAAAAGCCAAATTAGCGACTGTAGATTTTCGTCATTTTCACTTTTGATGATAAGAGTTTTCGGTTTTATGCTCATTAAGAAGGGTGAACAATGTTTTGGGACCGTCATAGACTTTTGAAGGATTTTGATTATCTTGATCAATCATTTTAATCCATACTAACCATATGCTTTAATTGGAGCGCATGTTTTGTCAGTTGCATATTACCAGTTGAGTTGGCAACAACTAAATCTCTTTCGTACATTAAAATAACATTGAACGTTTGTTCATTGAAAACTGATAAATACAATTGAAAATTAACAAATCAAATACTAAACAATCCTCTAATGAATAATAACAACGACTAAGCCTGATTTAGCTAAAATTGTAATTGTTCGTTTCTCTATTTTTTCTATCTAATCGAATGCCGTTGAGTTTTTATTATTTTCATGGGAGAAGAAAAACGATGAATATAACTCACAAAGAAAACGTGACAAACTTTATTCTTTGAGATGTGTTTAGCTGCCACGAGAATGACATTTTTGTTTTTTCCGCTGTCAGCAGAAAATTATTAGATTACGGTTATGTTCAAACTGATATCAAATTAAACAATTTTATATCGATTTTAGAGACAATATGTTTTTATTCAATATCACACTCCTAAAAAACTAATTCAAATTCGATTTCTTTTACCCATATGTGGTTTTTACTAACTATAGGTGAGTGATATGAAAACCATCATCTCAGGAATGCTAATAATATACTCGTTCACAATCACAGACGAAGATCCAATTTTCCAGCTTTTTATCTGGAATTTATCGGTAATAGGCTGAAATTTTTTTTTTTCATGGGACATTTTTTTGTTGTACACGGAAAAAGTTCTGTACTATTTGTATTATTTGGAACCTTTGATTGTAGCTCAGTTATAAAAACCATTCTGGAAATCGGATTGGAACGAAAATTAAGAAAACCGTTATAACCAGTATTATAGTCATGTAAAGATTTTAAACATAAAAAAAATTAAATGGATAATTGCTTATGTCACGAAAAGAAGTAAACAAAGAAATATTAATATTTGTTGCTGAAATAATACATAAACGACTTTAGTGAGTTGGTAATGCCAATGTTTAAAGTCTAGATGTATAATATCTGAGCATACACTATCTAGAAAGCCTTGATCATGAGAAACAATGAGTAAAGTTTTTTTCCAAGTTTGAAGATAACTGTGAATGAAAAATTTAATGACCGCTACTAAGATGAGGTCCAGCCAAATCACAGCATTAAGATCTAAATGGTTGGTCGGTCCATCTAGCATGAGTAAAGTAGGCTCCAGGAACAGAGCGCGAGCTAGTGATATTCTCATACGCCATCCTCCGGAAAAATCCTGAAAACATTGACAGATGTATTATATGTATGGTTATAAGACTGTCGAACTTGAACTGCTTTTTCTTGCATCGCTTTGCTAAATTCTAAACCAGCTAATATTCTTTTCGCCTTAGGTTCTGCAGCGTGGGCTCCAATGATTCCCAGCTCTTGAGCAACCTAAATCCAGCACATGATTTTTTTCAACTGCAGAGAAACAAACTTATTGTAATCTCGCAGCTATGCTAGTATCACCTTCCTCCAATTTCGCGGTCAGAACAACCGCTTCCTTCAATAAAGCCAAACGAACTTTATAATACAATGGTATCAATAGCAACAGCAATTTCTAAAAAAAAGAATCAACTAAAATGACGCGTGTGTCAGAAAATTACCTTGTTCGCAATAGAGAAGATTAATATGCGGAGGAATAGCTAATTATCTAGCTCCAATATGCTTCAATAAAGTCGTTTTACCCATGATTCAAGAACTTCTTCAAGTTAACTTGTCTATCACCACTAACCCGTTAGGTCCTACTGAACCATATCGATGACCATGAACAATTGTTAAGTCAGCTTTGTTAAAAAGTAGTTTTCCTTAAGCAGCGATGTCAAAATTTTCAAGCTGTGTTTATGATGAGTAAAGAAATAGCGAAAGGTAATGAACCTTAGTATGCATACTGTTTGCAATATTCATTATTTGCTGATGGCTCTTAGCAGTTTCTAAAACAGAGAATTGCTCTCCCAAATTCGCACCTGAACCGATTCCTCCACATTCCGTAAAATTGAACTCAGCAAAAAATAAACAGCCGATAATGCTTGCTTGTTCTTCATGAGCATCAGCATCAACTGCATTATCTACTCTTCCTCCTATTGAAAAAAATTTACAATCGTTCTCGCTCTCCTTTCATTCAAGGTCCCTCCACAGTCCCTCTATCATATTGCTGCATGTCATAATCAAGCTTCCGGGCCCAACGTTGTACATAATCTTTTGTCCCAAATCCCTGTCTGATCTGTCTTCATTTAGAGGGTGTAAAAGGCAATTCCTCTTTTCTTGAGAGACAGTTGAACTACAAACATTTCGAGATGAATATATCATAGGAAAGACAGCTTCCTGAACGAGGACACAGCCGCTGCCAAGACTTAGTTACCGTTTGTCGATTCTCTGCTATGAACACCACATCAGTCAGATGATAAACAATATCGTGAAGGCAGAAAACATCATACAGTGTCCCGAAAAGTTCTTTTTGTCAAGGATGTACATTTTCGTTTTTATTTATTAATTTCCTTTCTATGCAGGTTTTGTTTTAAAACCATGAGAAGTTTGAGACAATTTTCACATTTCGTTTATTTATTAGAAGTTGAACTCTTTATAACGTTTCTTTTGAGTCAAACCGTCAAAACGCTTGTATGTGAAATCGTAAAATGGTCCTGTAGGAGCATCACTCGCCTCACTATCCAAGGAAACATCTAAAACAATTGTAATTAACTTGATTCGAGCACGAAAACTCCTTACTCCAAGTTATTTCTTTTTCCGGAAAATCGTCAAAATTACTCGTATCGTCAATACTTTTCAGTTCCACTTTGAAAGGAGGCACTTTTTGTCTATTATTCATTTTGATAAGCAATTGATATAGACTATCCAACCTTATGTGATTCCAATCTATTCTTCTGAAAAATGGACATTGCTTAAGATCATCAATTCCATTATGATGTCCCATACGACGGTCGGATTCGCAACACAAGCGCTTGATAGTCTTCAAACAAACAACATTAAAAACTATATATTTTTTATTCTTACAGCTTTAGCTTCTATGCTAATTGGTTGTTCCGTTGGAAAAACTAGCGTTTGATGCCAGTTGAAAACTTTTTGATAAGTTTCTTGTGGAGTATCAGAGCAGAAAGGTGGATAGCCTATAAAAGTTAATGAGAACAGAAAAATTTCGAAAACTCACCGATAAGCATCTCATACATAATAACTCCCAAACTCCACCAATCACAGCTGTTAGTATAACCATTTGGCTGGAAAACTTCCGGCGCGATATAGTCTGGAGTTCCTACCATAGAGTAAGCCTAAAACTTGATTAAATAAAACAAAAGTCTAATAGATTCGCTGGAACATATTGCCGTCGGTTTTTCTTCCAAGTTTCTGCTTGTTGCTTCGAGTCAAAAGGCAGAAAATCAGAAGGCAGTTGTGTCTCCCAGTCCTTATAGAATTTTTTACGATGAAATTTCTGATACCCTGAGCTCAATCCGAAATCAGAAATTTTTATATGACCCTGGAAAATAGTATAATCAAACAATTGATCGATTACTTACTTTGCAATCAAGTAATAGATTATCTGGCTTTATATCACGATGAATAAAGTTCATTTCATGTAAACATTGAATAGCCAAAGCAGCCTCAGCGACATAAAATTGTGTAGCTTCTTCTGATAGTGTATCGTGCTTTATGAGCAGAGTCATCATATCACCTAAGAAAGGATACTACACATAGAATACAGAATACAACGCACCTCCAGCCAAAAATTCCATTACTAGGTATAGGTTATAGCTATCTTGGAACGAGTAATACATTTTGACAATCCAATCGCAATCAGCTCGGGACAAAATGTCTCTTTCCGTCTTGACATGAACAGTCTGCATAGAAAAAAATGAATAATAGCAAGTGCCTTCATTTTTACTTGTTCTTTTTCCACCATCACTTGCTTCTTCAAAATTTTCATAGCGTAGATGTGCCCCGTATCTTTCTTTTGAACTAGTCTCACCTATGGAAATAGAATAAATATTATGAATGATTATGAGTATTACTTCTCCGAACGCCCCTCGACCAATCACTTTCAGAGAATCAAAGTCGGTTACGGCGAGCTTGCTTCTTTTCAGGCGTAAATAGTCCGTTTCTTTGGAATACTGCATGTTTCGCTTTTTCTCCTTGTCTGCCTCAGTCAGATCTGAACACGAAGAAAATGATGAAAATATAAGAAATACTCACTATCTGCTTCCATTCCTTCTTCGAGCTTCTTCGAGCGATTTTCACGTTCAATGCATTGCTTCATAGCTTCCGTGTAGAAGCTTTCAATTGAAATCCGAGCTCGCAGAGCTTTATCTCGAGCGAATTGGTTCATTGTTAAGCAAACCTGAAACAATTTAAAATTATTTTTCACTACTATGCATATAAATATTTTCAAAACCAGCATTTGAAACGTGAAAGATTTGTGAGAGATAATGACATTTGAATGGTCAAGACATAATGCTTCAGAAAGAATAAAAATTATGGAATATAAAAAAACGGTTCGTGGCATCAGCCAAAATTATAAGAAAATTGATTATACAGCATCACACATAATGCTTAGAATGTGTGAGTAAGAACGAAAAACCACACACGCGATTTTGCGTACTTATTTTCAATCAATAAAACCTGAAAAATCTTAGTTATGAATAGCAATTATAGAAAATAGATACAATTATAAACGAGGAAAATACTCGGCATAGAAACAGTTTGATTAAAATTTATACTAAAATTATAAATATATTATTTTCAACTGAAAGATTTAGTATGAAGCATTTTGTTGAATGAAATTATTTATGACTTTCTTCGAACATCAATGATGTACACTGCTTTTATATAGCTATTTCATCTTCTCTCTTTCCAACTTTTCTTTAAAACATGATTTCTAATGAGTGAAATTGGAATATTTTGAAATCTGATTCCTGTATGCGCTCGCTTTTCTAACTTGGGCATCACTGCATGACATTAGCTGCATTACTCTTACTTAACATTTCCATGATTGAAAGCAATAAATACAATTCTAATACAAGAGCTATTTAATATACCAACATGTTCATCAGATTTTAATGAAACTATTCCGAAAAAACGTCAAATCACGTGTTACAATGAGAATCTATGATCCATTTTGATCCCCGAATCTATATTGTACTCAAAGTTCGTACTGCTCATGAATGAACTGTGATGGAGTATAGTCAAGTTGAATCATGTTTTGGTCAACGTAACATTCAACGGATGGTAATCTAAACATAAGTAGTTCTTAACAACATTCAAATTGATTTTAGGCACCACAAACTGAATCAGTTTTCTTCCAACTGACA